ATGGGGAGGGTGGAGATGCTGGTGAAGGTGGCAATGTGGTGTGTGCAAGATGAGCCGTCACAAAGGCCTAAAATGAGAACGGTTACCATGATGCTTGAAGGTGCTCTCTTGGTCCCTGCTCCTCCATGTCCTTTCCTATATAGTGTCAAGAGTCAAGATTCATCCAACATGTGACTCCCAAATAAAGGTAGTTCCTTTATCAGTATATACCTACATGTGACTCCCAAATAAAGGTAGCACTTCTGGCTTTTTCAGCTTTTCATGCTCTTGCTCAGCAAAACTGTTGATGCTCAAGGGTAGAATGGCATTTGCAATATTACTCTAAGTTACTGTTTGGTTGGTTTTTTTTTAATGTTTTGTTAGTATAGTTCCTTAGATCAAGGAACCATGTCTTTAGGTATTTTGTATATCATCAATGTATGGTACAAACAACACTCTGTTTTTACTGTTGACACTAGATGGCCGTTGATTTGTAACCTCTACAACTCAAATCTGCTATGAATGAAATGCAAGAGAAAAAATGAAAAGAAACGTAAAAAAAAAAAACCCAAACCTGAGCTCGTAGCAGCGAGCCAGTCTTCATCTCTATTTCTTGTTCTTTTTTCTGCAAAATAACAGCAACCACATCAATAAAAACTCTCAGTTCCTACACTAAAACAAATTGACATTGGCCTTATTTATGAAGAAAGAGAAAATCTTTGAGTACTAGTAAAACCAAAATGGGATTGGGAAAGGGAGTTGGGCATTGCCAGAAGGATCCCAAGAACATGAAGCGGAATGCCACTCCCCTAGAGCCTTTAGCGTGTGTTTTCGTGAGTTTGTGGATGGATAATTTATGTTATATCCATCTGCAGAAATTGCAAAGCGACAGAGCGCATTAATTTACTGCAGTTAATCACAAAAAATTCCAGTGCAAAGACCTAAAATGAGTATATGAGAAGGAGACACATTTGCATTGTTTTTTGCGTGTCCCTTTAGCAGAATGGTATGGAAGGCTGTTCTGCACCAACCTGGTGTCACTAGAAGACCACAACCATGGAATGAGGAAACCAAATTTATTTTAGAAACTTGTAGGGGCGGGAGCATAAGAGCAAGTACAATTCAACTGGCTATTGCTTCCACTGTATATATGATTTGGCAAGAGAGGAACCAGAGAGTTTTCCAGCAGAAAACAAAGGATCCGAAGGATGTTAGTTGGCCTATTATTCAAGTGATTGACTTGATGTCTTAAGTATGGTTATACTATATATCCTGTTAATTTTTTATTCCTGGCCCATTTTATTGAGAACTTTTCACTAGGGTATGCCCATGTAAACCCAATTTGGATTTTTTGTTTTTATTTTTTTTTAATGAAAGAAGCTAACCATTCTCCCAAAAGAAGCTCTAAACCCAACGGCTGGGTTTCTTTGAACTTAGCAGTTGGTTTCGTCGAACCTAGTAGAGTTGGGTTTCATAGAACCCAGCAAATTTGGGTTCACCGAACTCAGTTGTTGGGTTTCGTTCCACCACCCAGAGGCAGGAAAGAGGAGGAAAGAGGGAGAAAGAGAAAGAAAGAAGGGAAAGAAGATGGATCAGGATGGATCGAGAGGGAGAGGGATAACAACGTAGTTTTGTTTGTTTATTTATTTATTTTTATTAAAAATATAAATATTCATCTTATGTAACATTTTTATTTTTTTATGTAATTTAATTATAAAATATATTATTATCACATCATTAAAACAAATTAAAAAAATACTATGATAGAATTATTTAATGATCACATTATGATTAATTGACAGAAGATTAAAATTATATAATTTTTAAAATTAAAAGATAAAAAAAACAAAAAATAATTGAAAAACTAAAATTATGTAACACTATAAAATTAAAAAATTAAAATCAACATTTAACCTTTCACTTAAATGGCAAGTGGCTAGTCACTTGGCCTGAATCGTGCGGAACATTTGACCAAGCTTTATTTATCTTTATTTTTTGAGCACGAGAGAATTTTAAGGGAATGAAATTTTTTTTTAAATTATTAATAAAAATTAAATTTTTGACTAATTAAATTCAAATACTAAAATTTAAATACGAATAATGGGGTCCAAACCACCGGCTCATTTGAGCAAGCTTTATAGTTTCGAAAGTCTTTGAAATTTGAATATTCAAACGAGCTTATACTTCTTACCGTGCTGCTTTGCGTTCAATAAAATCAAGTTGTCCTGCCTTGCACTCTTGTCTCATCTAATATTTGAAACGGAAACTTGGAAGACTGGAAATTGGAACCCATTAATTAAGGGTGAGTATTTTCGTGTAAGTTAGGGATGAATTATAGTTGGTATATAATTTAAAAATATTTAGATATGATTTTTAATTTAATATTTACTTAAATATTTAAAGATTTATGCTTGATATTTAATATAATAGGTACCATGTAATTTATAAATATATATTTATATACTTGATTTAAGTAAAAAAGGATATTGTATTAATTATTATTACTTTGTATATTATGTGTTTGGGTCAAAATTTGTTATTTAGTTGAATTATTATTATTGCATATGTGATTTTTTCAGTTAAAGTTTATTTATGTATTTTATTATTCTTATTTTTAAAAATTATTATTATTATTATATATATAAAGTATAATAAATATGAATAAAATTTTAATTATATAAGTATAATTGATATGTTAGTTAAATAACTTGATTAAATAAATAAGATAATTAGTTTTAAATTCTTATATTCATTATTTAATTTGATATTTAAAGACATATTATTTTTAAAAAAAATGCACAATGATATCTATTCTTAAAATAAATTAAAGTTTTAACTTTAAAATACGTTATTTTATTTAATTAAAATTTAATGTATAAATATAAATTGAAATTTTATTTTTTTAATAACCAAAATTGATATATATTAATTATTTATTTTTTCTATAATTTAATATAATACTTATTTAAATAAATAAAATATTTATAAATAAGAAGTATATCAGTCACAACGCTCACCCTTACTATTAATTAATTAATTAATTCTGTAGGAAAAGTCGTCTTTCTTTACTTTCCGGTCCCATTCGGGAGAGTAAAACCGTAAAAGTCGTGTGGCTCTCAAGCAGTCAAAGCGATTGCCGTGTTGAAAGAGGGCAGATTAGCTTCTCCAAAACACGTCAGAAAATCAGGAAACTCCCAAATTTTCTTTGGGGATCTAGGATTTACAATCACTTCTTGTACAATTTAACTTCAGT